TGGTGAGATCTTGTCTATACAAAAAATTAAAAATGAGCTTGGCGTGGTGGTGCACGTCTGTAGTCCCAGCTACTCGGGAGGCTGAGGTAGGAAGATCCCTTGAGCCCGGGAGTTCAACATTGCAGTGAACCATGATCATACCACTGTACTCTGGCCTGGATGAACAAGTGAGACCATGTCTCAAAAACAACAAAAGACAAAAACAAACCTGCAATCTTAAGCAAAGAGCTTCAGGGAGTTCTGTGAGTCATTCTGGCAAGAGTAGGTAGCCGTGAGATTTCCAGCTGGTATCTGAAGTCAGGGCAGTCGTCTATAGGACTCTGCCCTAAACCGGTGCAGCCACACACTAACCCTGGATAAGACACGTCAGAATTGAACCAAACTACAGGGTATCCATTCGGTGCCAGAGAATCGATGTCAGAACATGCAAAGTCCTTTCAGCGAACATAGCTAGAAAATACTATTTATATATACACACACATACATACATATGCATATTTAAACTAAGTTTGCAGCTACAAATGCGCATTTTTAAAAATCTTAAGCCAGTATCAGCCTCCACATCAAATCCAGCACCACTTGGAAATCACATTAATGCATGTCAGTCCACCATAGTATTTTTCAGAGCCACACAATAATATTCCATTGTACGGATATACCATGCTTATTTCAACCACTGTTCGGCAGAGTTGTTTGCTACATATGCTGAAATCCGTAAGCCTGTGCAAATTCTGCTTTGCATTAGTGAAGCTGTATCTTTAAGGCAAATTCATACAACTAGCCCTGCTGGTTCTTGGATAAATGCATATGTGATTTTGGTAAAAACTGCCAAAAGCCCTTCCCTACAGGCTAGACCATTCTGGACTCCCACCTGCAAGATATGAGTACCTGTTTACTCACAGCCTTGCCCACTGAGTATGTCATCCAGCTTTTGAGTTTTTGCTGTTACGTTCTGAAAGGTGAGAATGTTTATCAGTGTAGTTTTCATCTGCATCTCTCTTATTATAAGTAAAGTTAAGCATCTTATCATGTTTAAATTTCTCTGTAGGCCGGGAGTGGTGGCTCACACCTGTAATCCTAGCACTTTGGGAGGCCTAGGTAGGTGGATCACCTGAGGTCAGGGGTTCAAGACCAGCTTGGCCATCATGGTGAAAACCATTTTATTTAAAAAAAAAAAAAAAAAAGAAAGAAAGAAAGAAAGAAAGAAAAAAGAAAAAAAAATTTCTTTGTAGAGCCATTTCTGAGAAATTCTTATTCACATGTTTTGCCAACTTTTTCTACTAGGTTTTTGGTCTAGCCTTTTTTTTTTTTTTTTTTTTTTTTTTGAGCTGGAGTTTCACTCTTGTTGCCCAGGCTGAAGTACAATGGCACAATCTTGGCTCACTGCAACCTCGGTCTCTTGGATTCAAGCGAAGTGATTCTCCTGCCTCAGTGTGCTAAGTAGCTGGGATTACAGGCGTGTGTCACCATGCAGAGCTAATAGTGTATTTTTAGTAAAGACGGGGTTTCATCATGTTGGTCAAGCTGGTCTCAAGCTTCTGACCTCAGATGATTCACCTGCCTCAGCCTCTCAAAGTGCTTGGATTACATGGCTCTGGTAGGAGCTGCCTTTTTTTTTTTTTTTTTTTTTTGAGATGGGAGTCACTCTGTTGTCCAGACTGGAGTGCAGTGGCAAAATCTCAGCTCACTGCAACCTCTGCCACCTGGGTTCAAGTGATTCTCATGCCTCAGCCCCCCAAGTCACTGGGACTACAGGTGTGCACCACCATGCCCATCTAACTTTTTTCTATTTTTTAGTAGAGACGGGGTTTCATCATGTTGGTCAGGCTGATCTTGAACTCCTGACCTCAAGTGATCTGCCCGCCTCAGCCTCCCAAAGTGCTGGGATTACAAGCATGAGCCACTACACCTGGCCAGGTATGCCTTTTTTTTTTTTTTTGAGACAGAGTCTAGCTCTGTTGCCCAGCCTGTAGCACAGTGGCGCAATCGTGGCTCACCGCAATCTCTGCCTCCTGGGTTCAAGCAATTCTCCTGCCTCAGCCTCCCGAGTAGCTGAGACTACAGGCACGCACCACCATGCCCAGCTAATTTTTTTTGTATTTTAGTAGAGACGGGGTTTCACCATGTTGGTCAGGATGTTCTTAATTTCCTGATCTTGTGGTCCGCCCGTCTCAGCCTCCCAAAGTTCTGGGATTACAGACATGAGCCACCACACCTGGCCCGGTCTGCCTTTTTTTAAAAGCTCACTGTATACTAAAAAGATTAATACCTTGTCTGAGACATATGGGGCAAATACTTTCTTCTGTTTTATTTGCCTTTTGATTTTCTTTTGTCTTTTGGGTTTTTTTTTTACAGTCAAGTAAAACTCTTTAAAGTCATTCATAAATTTAATATTCTTTTACTGCTTCCTGATCTTGAATCACATAGGAAGCTTTCTCCAGCTTTTTCAACATTTAGCTCTCTCACCCATTTGGAAATCGTTCTGATATATATATGAGCTAACAAAGCTAACAGATGTTTTGCAACATCTGTTTTTTTTTTTTTTTGAAAAAAGCTCTGGCAATGTCATGCAGGAAAAGCTCTGGCAATGTCATGCAGGCCAGGGTACAGTGACATGACCATAGCTCACTGCAGCCTCCAACTCCCAGGTTCAAGCAATTCTCTCACCTTACCCTCCCAAGAAGCTGGGACTATGAGCACATGCCACCATATCCAGCTTTTTTTATTTCTTGTAGAGATGGGGTTTCACTATGTTGCCAAGCATGACCTCAAAATTCTGGCCTCAAGAAATCCTCCCATCACCTCAGATTCCCGAAGTGCTGGGATTACAGGGTGAGCCACCACACTCAGCCAACATAACTTATTTTTAGATTCCCTTTTAAACTCCAGGTCTTCAGAGTCTACCTTTAACACATATGAAATTCCTACATATTCTCAGAATTTTATTCTGTTGCAACGGTCTTTCTGTGTCATCACGAGCCAGTACTACAGTTTTAATTAGCGATCCCTTGTAGTATGTTCCGATATGTGGGAGGGTTAGTCCTTCTCATTACTACTTTCACCAGGGTTTTCGTAACTATTGTTCCATGTTTACTTTTTCCACATAAATAGACCAGTCTCGATCTAGGAGGCGGGAGGACCTACTGGAATTTTTACTGGGATTGCATCCAACTTGTATATTAAGAGAACTGACATCTTTACCATTCTGAACCACTCCACCTTAAAACAAGGAATGTCTTTCCATTTGTCTGGGTCGACTTGGATATCATTCAGGAATGTTTTAAAGTTTTTTAACATAGGTTTAAGACATTTTTTTTTTTTTTTTTTTTGAGACGGAGTTCCACTCTTGTTACCCAGGCTGGAGTGCAATGGCGCGATCTCGGCTCACCGCAACCTCCGCCTCCTGGGTTCAAGCAATTCTCCTGCCTCAGCCTCCTGAGTAGCTGGGATTACAGGCATGTGCCACCATGCCCAGCTAATTTTTTGTATTTTTAGTAGAGACGGGGTTTCACCATGTTGACCAGGATGGTCTCGATCTCTCGACCTCGTGATCCACCCGCCTCGGCCTCCCAAAGTGCTGGGATTACAGGCTTGAGCCACGGCACCCGGCCTAAGACATTTCTTTTTAAATTAATTTGTATGTAGGCCAGGTGTGGTGACTCACACCTGTAATCCCCACATTGTGGGAGGCCAAGGCAGGTGGGTCACCTGAGGGCAGGAGTCCAAGACCAGCCTGGTCAACATGGCAAAACCCTGTCTCTACTAAAAATGCAAAAATTAGCCAGGCGTGGTGGTACACACCTGTAGTCCCAGGTACTCAGGAGACTGAGGCAGGAAAATCACTTGAACCCAGTAGCCAGAGGTTGCAGTGAGCTGAGATTATACCACTGCACTCCAGCCTGGGTGACGGAATGAGACTCCATCTCAAAAAAACAAAAAATTAAAACATAAATTAATGCGTAAGTAATTATTTGCCTTCTATGTAGCTAGTCTAAATGAGGTCTTCTCATTTACTATAGCTTCTAACTCGTTGTTTGGAAATATAAAGTGTACTGACTTTTTACATTATGATATCTGGCTAACCTTACTGAGTTCATTTGAATTTGTATAGGTTTTAGCATTGATTTTCTTGGATTTTCTAGTAGCTTCACTTCTTTTTATTCTAAGGCTTATAGACTAAATATAATCTGAATTTAGGGAATTCTCATTTTCCAAAACTCACACTTAAATTGAGGCTGCTGTCTTCATAGTATAGTATATATAATATTATTTCCATTTTAGATCACTGGAATCTCAAATTGACTCGGTGCATGAAATCCTACCGCACCACACTTTCCCACATACATCTAGTCACCGACACAGTCACATCCCAGTCCAACATTTCCTGGATTCATTGGGGCCCCAATCATGCTGATCTCAACACACACAGACCAGGGTGCCATCGTTAAGCCCCAACACCACTCAGTCTATACAGCAGGGATGCAAATTTATGCCAGAGTTCCACTTGGAATCTCAAATGATAAATCCTATCATGCTGTTCATCTTCAAACAGCCCTGAATAAAAATCTCTCTAACCATCTACACCAGGCTTGTCCAACCCATGGCCCAATGGCCCAATACAAACTTGTAAACATTATGAGATTTTTTTTTTCAGCTCATCAGCTATCATTAGTGTATTCTATGCGTGGCCCAAGACAATTTTTCTTCCAATGCGGCCCAGGAAAGCAAAAAGACTGGACGCCCCGATCTACACTGTCCTCCGTCCTTGCTCTCAAATCTCCTGCTTATCCTCTGACGAGCCGACTTTCACGGGGCTGAGAGGAAGATATTCACCGTGCTCATGAAAAAATGGCAAAAAAAATTTATCAAGCTCTCAAGACAGGAGCTAGAGAAATGAAACTCTTCTTGTGAGCTCAGATGAACTACGCAGCAATAAAAAAAAATACGAACTGTTAACCAACTGCAGGAGCCAAGTCCAAAATTTCCCAAAGTGATGGTACCTTTTCTTTCTTCAGATGATCCATTATTTTGCCCAGATCTTCCACATCAACAATGGAATTTACACTCTGCTGGTCCTCACCGCCAAACTCTTCTTCACTGGAGCCCTCGTAGGGTTCTTCCTCCTGGAACAGAAATGCTTCAGAAATACACTGTTCAAAGAGGCAAAGTCAAGGCTCTCTTATACTCCCTCCCACACTGAGAATTCACTCTATCTCCAGATTCTTTTTTTTTTTTTGAGATGGACTCTTGTTTGCTCTTTCACCCAGGCTGGAGGGCAGTAGCGTGATCTCGGCTTGCTGCAACCTCCTCCTCCTGGGTTCAAGCAATTCTCCTGCCTCAGCCTGCCAAGTAGTTGAGATCACAGGCCCCCACCAGCATGCCTGGCTAATTTTTGTATTTTTAGTAGAGACAGGGTTTTACCATGTTAACCAGGCTGCTCTGGAACTCCTGACCTCAGGTGATCCACCCACCTCAGCTCCCAAAGTGCTGGGATTACAGGTGTGAGCAACCACACCCAGCTGTCTCTAAATTCTTGATTTAAAAATAAAATCTAGGCTGGGCACGGTGGCTCACTCCCATAATCCCAGCACTATGGGAGGATAGGCTAGGAGGATTGCTTGAGGCCAACAGTTCGAAACCAGCCTGGGGAACATAGTGAGGCCACATTGCTAGAATCAGCCAGACATGGTAGTACACATGCCTATAGTCCCAATTACTTAGGAGGCTGACGCAGGAGCGTCACTTGAAGCCAGGAGTTCAAGACCAGCCTGGGTAACATAATGAAATCCCCATCTCTGCAAAAAAAAAAAAAAAAAAAACAATAAAGAAGAAATAAATCTTAGGTCTTTGGCATCAGACTAATCACTGTGAAAGGGCATGATGCAATGAGAACAACACTTCACCTACCCTCCCATGTCAAAATGACATGAGCTGGGCTCAGGAGAACAAGACACATGCCAGACAGACATATAGGAAACGTGGCATCAATGGGAAGACACATTTGCTGAGTACCTACTATGTGCCTATGTTCAGATACCATTCGCTTCATCCTTAACTACTTATGATGTGGAAATGTCCAACATCATCTCATAGATGAGGAAATTAAAGCTAGAGAAGTTAAGAAATCATGGCTAATACGTAGCAGTCTTCATCCCTTTCTCCAGTGGAGGATAAGCCAGAATCAAAGGATAGAGTTTTTTGGTTTTGTTTTTTGGTTTTTTGGTTTTGTTTTTGTTTTTTTGAGAAAGAGTATCGCTCCATCACCGAGGCTGGAATGCAGTGGCATGATCTTGGCTCACTACAACCTCTACCTCCTTGAATTGGGTTCAAGCAATTCAATTACCATGTCTCAGCCTCCAAAGTAACTGGGACTACAGGCATGCACCATCACACCCAGCTAATTTTTATATTTTTGGTAGAGATGGAGTTTCACCATGTTGGCCAGGCGCCACCACGCACAGCGAATTTCTTTGTATTTTAGTAGAGACAGAGTTTCACCACGTTGGCTAGGCTGGTCTCAGACTCCTGATCTCGGGTGCTCTGCATACCTTGGCCTCCCAAAGTTCTGGGATTACAGTTGCTAGCCACTTACACCTGGTCTGATATATATATATATATTTTTTGAGACAGGGTCTCACTCTGTCACCCATGCTGCAGGGCAATGGTGTGATCATAACTCATTGCAACCTTGACTACCAGGGCTCAAGCAATCCTCTTACCTCTCAGCCTCCCAAAGTGCTGGGATAAGAGGCGTAAGCCACCGTACCCAACCAGTTTTTTTGTTTTTTAAGTTCGTTTAAATACAAACAGTTCCAGAGTGTGTTTATAAATTTATGGGAACAATCTAGTAGAGAGAAGAAATGAATGATACAGGAGAAGAGAAGCAATCAGTGAAGGAACGCAGTCCTGGATTCCACAGTACAGACAGATGTAGTCTGGGAAAGGAACAAGACAACTGGTCTTCTGAGCCAGGAAAGGTGGTGAAGATCTGGAGATGGGCTGGGGAGACAGCAAGAGAGCGCCCTTGGATGGTTTCAGCTGGGAGCCGGGGCAAGGGCAGGAGGAAATAAGTATGAAACAGTCATCTTGGAGAATAAGAAAGGGAATTTGCAAGGGAAGTAGTGAGACTGTAGGGCAGTTCTAAGTCTACACTTGAGCCTGTGGTCATGAATCCATGGTCAAACAATCAGCAGCAGGCATGGGGAAGGTTGATGTGAGGGGAGTGGTTTCAGCCTGGCCTGGGATTTGACCAATCAGGTCAGAAGAGTGAGAGGCAAAGCAATTGAAGAGGATTAGACTGGGCGCGGTGGCTAACACCTGTGATACCAGCACTTTGGGAGGCCAGGATGGGTGGATCACCTAAGGTCAGGAGTTCGAGACCAGCCTGGCCTACATGGCGAAACCCCATCTCTACTAAGAATGCAAAAATTAGTAGTTACAAAAATCCCAGTTACTCAGGAAGCTGAGGCAGGAGAATACTTGAATCCAGGAGGCAGAGGATGCAGTGAGCCAAGACGGTGCCACTTCACTCCAGCCTGGGCAACAGAGCAAGACTCCATCTCAAACCAAAAAAAAAGAACTGAAGACGTTTATAAATGAGTGAGGATAAAACTCAAAACTGGGTTTATGATGGGAAATAAAGTAAGCAGTTTCTGCTACTGAATAAAAAAGGTATAGGTTCAGATGGGATCAAAAGAATCTTAACGGGCAAGCCGTTGCTCATGCCTATGATCCTAGCACTTTGCGAGGTCAGATCAAGCGGATCACTTGAGCCCAAGTGTGTGAAACAAGTCTGGGCAACATGGTGAAATCCTATCCCTGCAAAAAAATAGACCAATTAGCCAGGTGTGGTGGCACATGCCTATAGTCCCAGCTACTTGGGAGGCTGAGGTGGGAGGATCACCACTGCCCAGGGAGATTGCGGCTGCAGTGAGCCATGATTACACCATGTACTACAGACTGAGCATGACAGAGTAAGACTCTGTCTCAAAAAAAAAAAAACAATGTTGTTAAAGTAGAAGTCACAGAATGAGGTCATAGTAAGCATGAAAGGAACCTGAATTTCAGATGTGCCATGTGAGGAAGAGACCAAGGTCAGTGGAGAAATGGCTGCTGGAGGTGTGAAGGCCAGGAAATTGGCAGGCCAGGGTGGTAGACAGATCATCCACAAGGGTGCCACAGCCTCAAAGCATAATGACAGGAACAGGGTGGAGAGAGAAACCATGAGTCAGAATGCCAAGCTGCTGCTGAATTACGCAACTGACCAGGTGGCCTCAAGATAACAGCTGTGAACATGACAGGGTGTTACAGCCTGAAGACAGGAGCTTCAAAGGAACTGGGGTATTTAAAGAAGGAAGTAAGAGAAATGCTCAGAATGTGAGGGGAAAAGAGCCTCATCGAGGATGACTTGCAGCCTTCGGTTTGAGTGACTAACGGAGTCACTGAACTCAGGAGGTACGTGTGATCTGGAGATAATGAGACGTGAGCTCAGACTTGGACAAATTTAACTTCTCTATGGCTCTGTTTTGCAACTTGCAAAATGTGGTAAAAATCTATTTGACTTTAACACTGCAAGGATTAAAGCAGAGATTTTGGTTTTGTTGTTGTTGTTGTTATTTTTGAGACTGAGTCTTACTCTATCGTCCAGGCTAGAGTGCAGTGGTGTGATCTCAGCTCACTGCAACCTCCACCTCCCAGGGTCAAGCAATTCTCCTGTCTCAGCCTCCCCAGTAGCTGGGATTACAGGCCCCACCACAATGCCAGGCTAATTTTTGTATTTTTAGTAGAAACGGGGTTTCACCATGTTGGCCATGCTGGTCTCAAACTCCCGACCTCGAGTGACCCACCTTCCTTGGCCTCCGAACATGCTGGGATTACAAGCGTGAGCCACTGTGCCCAGTATTAAGAGGAGATTTTGGAAAGCATCTAGCACGATATGGCTTAACTCGTAAGGCCTCACTCTCTTTCTCTGAAACACCACCACGAGATTCACATCTTTCTTCTTTTCTTGTTATTGTTTTTGTTTTTCTTTTTTGTTTTTGAGGCAGGGCCTCACTCTGCTACCCAGGCTGGAGGGCGGTACAACGATCACAGCTCACTGCAGCCTACAATTCCTGGGCTTAAGCCATTCTCCCAGCTCCATCTCCTAAGCAGCTGAGATGACAGGCCTGCACTGCCATGCCTGGCTAAATTTGAAGTTATTATGGTAGAGGTAGGGTCTTGCTATGTTGCCCAGGCTGGTCTTGAACTTCTACGCTCCAGCAATACTCCCGCCCTGGCCTCCCAAAGTGCAGGGATTACAGGCATGAGCCACTGCGCCCAGCCAGATCTTCCTTCTAACTGGAAGCCAAGGAGATGGTTTACTGGGGAAGAGGTCAAGCTCGGGATGTCCAGGCAGAGGGGAAGCAGGGAGAGATGAACACACAGGCGGTGTACCTCGGCATCTCTGTGACGTGATTCATCCTGCTCCTCACGGCCGTCCTCCCTCTCCTCTGAGCCGTGTTGGTGAGAGTCACATTTGCCTTTCTTGCAGTGGCCGCCACAGGACTTCCTGCCCTCCCCGTTTTGAAGTGCCTGCAGCTGGGAGATGAACGTGGTCTTCCAGGCTCCGAAGTCCGCCTCGATGCTGCCGTGCTTGCTTTTAACCACATCGCAATCACCCTCCCCTCGACTCACCACGCGATGCGCACCAAGCATCCAGAGCCACTTGTCAACGTTTTTGCCGACCTGTGAGGAAAAGACAGATGGGCTGAAAGCACAGTCCTCCAAATCGGGTTTTCCAGACCGCCATGCAAAAGCCCCAAGGCCTTCTGGGGCCCCCGGTCACCAGCTGCTGCTGAGGAAGAGGAAATTGCTCAGCAAAATGACCTTCAGGTCTTCAATCTCCAGCCTTGACCCAGAAGACCTGCATTTTACATATTCCACTTTTCTGCGTTAGTATTTTTTTTTAAACAAAGGGACAAACAAACCCCCTCTAACAAACAAAGGGTTAATGACTAAAAGAAATGTGAAACCTACCAATTCTGTATCATGGTAAGGACAAAACAGGCGCTAACAAAACAAAGGGGTTCCAAAAACATAACAAAGCTTATGACGGCTCATCCTATTCAGTTATAAAATGAAAATGTTATCAATTTGGCAAGACTTATGATTTCCTAAACTCAATAATTTCTTTCGCTGTGATATGAAACAATTAACTGAGGCACAGGTGTTATCAGAGGCACAGTTAAGAGTTCAAAAATTTAACAAGTTTCCTGAGTGGTAAGGCATTCAACAAAATATTTACACATCTAGGCCAGGCGCCTAGATGTCTCATGTCTGTAATCCCAGCACTTTGGGAGGCCAAAGCAGGCAGATTGCTTGAGGTCAGGAGTTCAAGACCAGCCTGAACAACATGGTGAGAGACCCCGTCTCTACTAAAAATACAAATATTAGCCCAGGATGGTGGCACACACCTGTAATTCATGCTACTTGGAAGGCTGAGGCGTGAGAATTGCTTGAACACAGGAGGCAGAGGTTGGAATGAGCCAAGATAGCACCATTGCACTCCAGCCTGGGCAACAAAGTGAGACTCTGTCTCGAAAAAAAAAAAAAAAAATTTACCTATCTGAATTTTCCCATTCATATAGTCAAAAAAAAAAAAAAAAAAAAACAGAGCTTGGGCAATAAAGGTCACTCAACAACAGAAAAGGCAACTGAGCAAATCCAAACACACAGTGATCTTCCATCTACAAGGTCATGCCTGGGCATCATGAATCCAGCCCACTAAAACACTAATGAGGAACACTCATTCATTTTATTCAAGAAAAAAGTATTGAGAATCTACTGTATGCCAAGTTTGATATTATGTGTAGCAGTATCCAGCTATAAAGATTAACAGAAGAGGGCCAGACAGAGTGGCTCACACCTGCACTAAAGTAATCCCAGCACTTTAGGAGGCTAAGGCCAGTGGATCGCCTGAGGTCAGGAGATGGAGACCAGCCTGGCCAACATGGAGAAACCCTGACTCTACTAAAAATACCAAAATTCAGTACCTATAAGCCCAGCTACTCCAGGAGGCTGAGGAAGGAGAAATGAGAATCGCTTGAACCCAGGAAGCAGAGGTTGCAGTGAGCCGAGACTATACCACTGCACTCCAGCTAAGGGATAGAGGGAGACTCTGTCTCCAGAAAAAAACAAACAAAAAAACAAAAAAAGGAATAGCAGAAGAGGCTGGGCACAGTGGCTCACACCCGTAATCCCAGCACTTTGGGAGGCCAAGGCAGGCAGATCACATGAGGCCAGGAGTTCACAACCAGCCTGGCCAACACGGCGAAACCCTGTCTCCAGTAAAGCTACAAAAATTAGACAGGTGTGGTGGCACATACCTGTAATATCAGTTACTCAGGAGGCTGAGGCAGGAGAATCACTGGAACCTGGGAGGTGGAGACTGCAATGAGCTAAGATGGTGCCAGTGCACTCCAGCCTGGCGACAGAGCAAAACTCTGTCTCAATCAATCAATCAATAAAATAACAATGAAACGTATTTCTAACTAGCTACCAAAGTCTGTGGATTATTTCACATACGAGTATGTGGGGGTGGGTGGGTGTGTGTGTGTGTGTGTGTGTGTGTGTGTGTGTGTAGGGAGAATTTGTTCCTATAATTCAACACAGACCTACCTTGTTGAAGTGGCTAGCATAGGCAGAATTTCCCAAGCCAAACACCGCATATCTCATACCCTTCAGGTAAGTTTTGCCGAATCGAAAATCACGGGACGCTTCCTCTAACCATTTGCAGAACCACTCTGCACTTTCAGTTGGTCGGCCATCAGTGTATGTCGCCACCAGGAAGACACAGACGTTTTTACCAGTAGCCTAACCAAGAGAGTAATTGTTTCAGTAGAATATTCAAGGCATAAATTATCTCAATGAAGAAAATCCTTTGAAAAAATGCATACTCATCTCTAAGGACGAAGGGCACTTTCATCCACACACCTCATTTTCACAAGTGAAGGGCATCACTGAGAAACAAAGCAAGAACACCTTGCTGTGTTCTTGGGGGAAGAAGACCCAGACTCTTGTTCCTGCCAATACACTGTCCGGTATATTTCACCACATAGGCCATTCCATTTTCCAGATTATACTACATTCTCATCATCACTGATTTGCCACAGTGGAAACAAATCTAAATCGATCAAGAAAAAACAGAGAGAGACGGCCAGGCATGGTGGCTACTAATGGGAGAACACACGGGGGAAAAGAAGCCCCTGAGTTTCAAACCTTAAGGCAACAGCTCATGTTCCTGCCTCCTTAGAGTGGAAGCTGCTCTGTGGTGTCAGAAAGACGAGGAATGTGGCGACCTCTCTTATTCATCTGCCTCAAGGCAGCTTTTGGTAAGAGTGGTGTTTGGTATTGGAGATTATTTTAAATCTCTGAAATCTTCAAGGAACAGGGGGGTTGGTGTTCTTGGCCCATTACCATCTCCTCAGGCAGGAAGCTGTGAATATCCGTATCAAGGCAGTGGATGTTGGCCAGCCCCATGGTTTCCACCTGTAATCCCAGGGGGGACTGAGGTGGGTGGATCAAGAGGTAAGGAGTTTAAGACCAGCCTGGCCAACATGGTGAAACCCCATCTGTACTAAAAATACAAAAATTAGCCAGGCGTGGTGGTGGGTGCCTGTAGTCCCAGCTACTCAGGAGGCTGACGCAGGAGAATTGCTTGAGCCTAGAAACCAGAGGCTGTAGTGAGCCACAATCGCACCATTGCACCATGCACTCCAGCCTGGGCAACACAGCGAGATTCTATCTCAAAAAAAAAAAGAAAAAGAAAAGATACAGAGAGATTTCTAAAAAATCAAAGCAATAAAGGTTTTCAAACATAAAGTAATTTAACACTTGACACCAGGGGTCCCCAAACCATGGCCCGCGGGCCACATGTGGCCCCGAGGCCATTTATCTGGCCCCTGCCGCACTTCAGGAAGGGGCACCTCTTTCATTGGTGGTCAGTGAGAGGAGCAAAGGATGCGGATGCATCCTGTGCTCCTGGAGTACTGTATGTGGTGGCGCCGCAAAGCGCGGTGTTGCTCACGTACAGTACTACTTCCAGTGACGCGGGACGCACGTGTCACGACTCCGGAAGCATGTCATCTGACGCACATCCGGTCTGCGGCTGCGGCGCCTCACATCACCGGAAGCAGTGTGAAATAACAGCAGACGTAGGAAGAAAGGCAAAGCACTATAACCATTACTACACAGTACAATGGCCCCCATACTCCCCCAGATGTACAACAACATTATGGCCCCTATAACCTCTCTTTGCCCGTAAGTCTCCCCCCACATTACTACACACCATGTTTCCCCTATTAGAAGACCTTGTCTTATATTAATTTTACCCCCAAAAGACGGGGGCTGTCTTATTTTTTAGGAGGTGTCTTATAATAAGAGAAACATGCAGCAGTGGGCTTCCCACAGAAGAGGCCCACGGCCGCTGCAGATGTCCAGGACGCTGTATACACAGTGTCACAGGCTGATCACCGCCATCCCTGTGTACAGCACTGGAGGCGGTGCTGGGCCTGTGACACTGTACACCGCTGTCTGGGATAGTGGAGGCAGCAGCGCTGGCTGTGAAGGGTGTCACACCTTGCATAGTCCGGCCCTCCAACGGTCTGAGGGACAGTGAACTGGCCCCGTGTAAAAAGTTTGGGGACCCCTGCTTGACACCACTATCTAAACAGAACTGTTGCAAATCCCAGGGAAGCAAAATACAGGTTGAGTATCCCTTATCCAAAATGTTTGGGATCAGAAGTGTTTTGGATTTTAGAGGTTTTTTCTGGTTTTTAAAGAAACCCGCATATACATGATGATGTACCTTGGGGATATATCAGTCTAAACACAAAATTCCACTGTTTCATATATACCTTACGCAGCTAGCCTGTAGGTAACTTTATTCATTACTTTTGACAATTTCATACAGGAAACAAGGTTTTGACTGTTGACCTTGACCTATCACACGAGGTCAGGTGTGGAATTTTCCACTTGTGGCCCTCACATCTGCGCTCAAGAAGTTTGGATTTTACAGGATTTCCAATTTGCAATTCAGGGATTCTCAACCTGTGTATCCTTAGTCTTGACAGCCTGGTGTTCGAATACATCTTAACAGTCCCAGTCACAAGGTAAATTATAAGTAATCTCTTAGCTATAAGTATCAAAGTTTGATAATGATCTTTCACAAATAATTTAGAGTACATTCGAGTTCACTCATGTGCATACTTGGGGGACACAGAAACGGACAGGGTCAAAGCTAGACATTTACCTGCTGCCTTTCTGTTTCTGTTTTTTGAGACTCAGTCTGCTCTGTCGCCCAGGCTGGAGCACAGTGGTGTGATCTCTGCTCACTGCAACCTCCATCTCCCAGGTTCAAGCGATTCTCATGCCTCAGCCTCCCAGTAGCTGGGGCTACAGGTGTGCACCACCACAGCTAATTTTTCTATTTTTAACAGAGACAGGTTTCACCCTGTTGTCCAGGCTGCTTTCATAGGCCAGAGCTCAAGCGATCCACCTGCCTTGACCTCTCAAACTGCTGAGATTACCGGCGAGAGATACCACGCCTGGCCTATACTTTTTTTTTAAAAGAAAGTTTTAGTGGAACACGCCCACACTTATTTATTTACATATTACCTATGGCTGGTTTGTGCCTCAGTGGCAAACGGAGTAGCTGTCGGGCCCACAAAGGACAAGATACTTACTACCTGGCCCTTTGCGTGAAAGTGTGTCAACCCCAGCTCTACGTGCTTCTTTCTTTTTTGGTTTTTCTTTTTTGGAGACGGAGTTTTGCTCTTGTTGCCCAGGCTGGAGCACAGTGGTGGTATGATCTCAGCTCACTGTAAACTCTGCCTCCTGGGATCAAGCGACTCTACTGCCTCAGCCTCCCCAGTAGGTGGGATTACAAGGTGCCTGCCACCACGCACAGCTAACTGTGTATTTTTAGTAGAGACGGGGTTTCACCGTGTTGCCAGGCTAGTCTTGAAATTCTCATGTCAGGTGATTTATTTGCCTCCGCCTCCTACAGTGCTGGGAATACAGGCATGAACCATCACACCCGGCTGCATTACTTATTATCTATGAGGGTTTAATTTCTTCATCTGAAAAGTGTCCCTCCCCTTTCTGCAGTCATGCCCAGCTAGGGGATTTCAGCCTACAGTGGTGGTTCTCAAAGTGTGAACCCTGAGCCAGCAGCATCACATCTCTGAATTTGCCATAAACATAGAATCTCAGGTCTTAGCCTAGCCACACTGTGGAGCTTGAACAGTTATTGGTTCCTGGTATTGCTGACATAGGTAGAGTTAAAGAACACTTAGAAGCTGAGCACTGTGGCTCGCACCTGTAATCCCAGCACTTTGGGAGGCCAAGCCGGGTGGATCACCTGAGATCAGGAGTTCAAGACCAGCCTGACCAACATAGCAAAACCCCATTTCTACTAAAAATACAAAAATTAGCCAGGTGTGGTGGCAGGCACCTGTAATCCCAGCTACTAGGGAGGCTGAGGCGGGAGAATCACTTGATCCCAGGAGGTGGAGGTTACAGTGAGCCAAGATCACACCACTGCACTCCAGCCTGGGCAACAAGAGCAAAACTCTGTCTCAAAAAAAAAAAAAAAATAGTGGGAAGGAGTGAACTTCCAACCATCCAAGCTTTCTCATCTCCACCCCCAGAAGAAACTAACACACCTGAAGGACAAACCCCACACCACCTGAGAATCAGTGAGCTGCACCCACATTCAATGCTCTGAATCACACTGAAATTCAACAAACAGAAATCACTGCGCAAGAAAATTAAATGTATTCTGAAGATTCTAGTTATCTAAATTTATTCTGAAGACTGCAGGTCAGTTAAATTTGAGAGTTCTGATTGATGAAAAAATAAGACAACTACCAACCTCTTCTATCAGACAATCATCCGGATCATATTCTTTTAGATTAATAACTGCCACAGGCAGATCCAGGGGCACAACCGCTTCAGCAAGAACTGCCGCAAATCCCTAAAAGGACAAACAACAGTGACAAATATCCAAGTCTTCAATGAGCCAAATAAGCAAAGTGCAGCCCTCATTGACCCTCTATTGGCACAAGAATGTGGCATTCCTCACGAAAAACGTTCTCAGTGACTGAGGTATCTTCATGAACTCAAATTCTATTCTCGCACTTACCATTTTCTTGGGCACCATTACAGAGATCATTCATTCAATTGTGTTGTTCTCACCTGATAAAGGTTTACGTAAAACTGAATCTAATTTAGCTTTTGGATGATCACTCTGCCTTGCCCTACTAGAATAAATGTATCAGCCAGGCAAGATGGCTCACGTCTGTAATCTCAGCACTATGGAGGCCAAGGTGGGAGGATCACTTGAGGTCAAGCCTGGGCAACAAAGTGAGACCTCATCTCTGCAAAAAAAAATTAAAAATTAGCCAGGTGTAAGTGATGGCACACACCTGTAGTCCCAGCTACTCAAGAAGCTGAGACAGGAGTATCCCTTAAGCCCAGGAATTAGAGGACACAGTGAGCTATGATCACACCAATGCATTCTAGCCTGGGCCACAGAGTGAGATGCTGTCTCATAAAGAAAATAACATATTGAAAAAGAATAAACACAGAGAAGTGCAAAAAGAAATGGTAAAGAATGGGCTGGGCGCAGCAGCTAATGCCTGTAATCCCAGCACTTTGGGAGGCCGAGGCAGGTGGATCACTCAAGGTCAGGAATTCAAGACCAGCCTGACCAACCTGGTGAAACCCTGTCTCTACTAAAAATACAAAACTAGCCAGGTGTGGTGGCACACGCCTGTAATCCCAACTGCTTGGGAGTCTGAGGCAGGAGAATCCCTTGATTCCAGGAGGCGGAGGCTGCAGTGAGCCGAGATCCTGCTAGGAAGCAGTTGACAGACAGGAAAAAGCCCTAGGGAATGATGCACAGGCCTGACAGAACCCCAGAGACTCCCTGGGCTGGGAGCATCCACTGCAACAAAAGATGGAAAGAAAACTCAGAGTTGACTGCCTTTTGTATGCTAATGAGATGACTTACGGGGGCAAAGCCTCGGGTAGCTTCAGGATAGAGGCTGGTTGCCAAGAAACTGACTAGAGGTTGAACTCAGTACCTCCGTTGGAGATTGAGCTTCATCACCAAGGCCTATGATTTAATCAAGCGTGCCTATGTAATGGAGTCTCCAAGAAAAACCCCTCAACAATGGGGACTGTTGGGCTGGTGAACAAACCAATGTGCTGGGGAGAAGACAAGGCCAGAGACGGCCTGGAAGCTCTGCTCAGCCCCCACCCCTCCGTAGCTGGCCCTGTGCAGCTTTTCCATTTGGTGGTTCCTGACTTGCATACTTTAGAATAAACCAGTAAACATAAGTAAAGCAACTTCCTGAGGTCTGTGAGTCATTGTATGGAACCTGAGGAGGCAGTGGTACTGAACCCTAAATTTAAAGCCAGGACTTGTGATTGGTATCTGCAGGGGGGACAGTCTTGTGGACTAGTAACTCTCAAAAGCAAGAACGAGAACTGGCATAGAAAAAAGACAGCTCAGCCAGTCGTAGTGGCTCAGGTGTGTAATCCCTGCACTTTGGGAGGCTGAGGTGGGCACATCATCTGAGGTCAGGAGTTCAAGACCAGGCTAGCCAACATGGTGAAATCCCATCTCTACTAAAAATACAAAAATTAGCCAGGTGTGGTAGTGGGCACCTGTAATCCCTGCTACTCAGGAGGCTAAGGAAGGAGAATCGCTTGAACCCAGGAGGCGGAGGTTGCAGTGAGCCGAGATCACACCACTGCACTCCAGCCTGGATGACAGAGGAAGACTCTTTCTCAAAAAAAAAAAAAAAAAAAAAAAAAAAAAACAGAAAAAGGACAGGTATTCGAGGGTCAGAAAACACTACTGCAGCAGGCCTCAAGGACTGACATGGTTTGGATATTTGTCCCCTCCAAACATCATTAACATGAAATCTCCAGTGTTGGAGGTGAGCCTGAATAGGAGGTGTTCGGGTCATGGGTGCAGGTCCCTCACGATGGCTTCGTTACCAGTGGAGGATCTTGACTAGGAGTTGTCCGGGTTCTTCTCACGTTGAACAAAGGATTTTTTTAAATGCACAAGCAAAGCAACAAAAGCATAGATTTACTGACGCAAAAGTACACTCTACAGAGCAGAAGTGGGCCAGAGCAAGAGCTCCAACTGAAATGTTTCTTGGGTTCTTATCAAGCTAGAAGAATTTGCTAACATCCCCAGGAGCCTTTGGAGGCTTCCAATTGGTTATACCCTATGTAAATGAGGAATTGGCCCATGGCCAATCGGAGGCTGCAGCAGAGTCACACCTTAGGCAAATAAAGGATTAGCCCACGGCCAATCAGAGACTGAAGTGGAGTTACAACCTTTGCAAATAAAGGATTAGCCCATGGCCAATCAAAGGCTGAAGTTTCCCTTTCAGTTTAATTCAAACTCAGCCACCGATTGGCCTTAGGCTCTCTGTCTCCAGACACTATTCTCCTACCTCAGCTTGGTGGTCTCCCCTTGGTGATGAGTTCTTGCACTATTAGTTCATAGCTAACTGTTAAAAAAAGCCTCACATCTCTCCCTACGCTTTTGCTCCCTCTCTCGCCATGTGGTACCTATTCCGCCATGGGTGGAAGCTTCCCGAAGCTTCACCAGAAGCCAAGTGGATGTTGGCACCATGCTTGTACAGCCTACAGAACCATGAACCAAATAAACCTCTCGTGTTTATAAATTACAGTATTAGTCCATTCTTTTTTTTTTCTGAGACAGAGTCTTGCTCTGTCACCAGGCTGGAATGCAGTGGCACAATCTCAGCTCACTGCAATCTCCGCCTCCTGGGTTCAGGCAATTCTCCTGCCTCAGCCTCCTGAGTAGCTGGGACTACAGGCACGCGCCACCACGCCCAGCTAAGTTTTGTATTTTTTAGTAGAGACAGGGTTTCACCAAATTGGCCAGGATGGTTTCGATCTCTTAACCTCGTGATCCACCCGCCTCGGCCTCCCAAAGTGCTGGGATTACAGGCATGAGCACTGAGCCCGGCCAGTCCATTCTTGCATTGCTATAAAAAAATACCTGGCCAGCCATGGTGGCTCACACCCGTAATCCCAGCATTTTGGGAAGCCAAGGCAGGTGGATTGCCTGAGCTCTGGTGTTTGAGACCAGCCTGGGCAACATGGTGAAATCCATCTCTACCACAAATATAAAAAATTAGCTGGGCATGGTGGCACGCACCTGTGGTCCAGCTACTTGGGAGGCTGACGTGGGAGGATCGCTTGAGCCTGAGAGGTGAAGGTTGCAATGAGCTGAGATTGTGACACCACACTCCAGCCTGAGCGACAGAGCAAGACTCCATCTCAAAATTTAAAATAAAATACCTGAGACTGGAAAATTTATAAAGAAAAGAGGTTTAATTGGCTCACAGTCATGCAGACCTGTACAGGAAGCACAGCAGCACTGGCTTCTGGGAAGTCCTCGGGGAGCTTCCAATCTTGGCAGAAGACAAAGGAAAAACAGGGTCATCACATGGCAGGAGCAAGAAAGAGGAGGAGGAGAGGCCACACACTTTTAAACGACCAGATCTCACGAGAACTCACCATCACGAGGACAGTATCAAGAGAGATGGTGGTGCTAAACCACTCATGAGAAATCCACCCCCAATATCCAAGCACCTCCCAGACCCCACCTCCAACAATGCGACGTAAGATTTGCTGGGAACACAGACCCAAACCTTATCAAGGACCCAGCTGCCGGTATTCCTTACAGCAATCCAAAACAGACTAACACAAGGAGAAAGTCAGATTTCAGCCAAAGCTGAAAGAAACTGGGGGAACCATGAGGTTATCCCAGGTGGCAGGAACAGTGACGTGCAAAGGCTCAGAGGAGGTTACTAAGACTGGGGTAGGACAGTTAACAAACAGCCACACATGCAGGATCTCTGGGCCACTGTGAGGACTTTGGCATTGACTCTAAGTGAATGAAGGAGTTGGTGCAGGGTTTTAAGCACAGGGGTAATATGATTTCACTAAGTTTTCAAACAGTCACTGAGGATGCTGAGTTGAGAGTATTCTGGAGTCAGAAGAGGGCTGAGTGGTACTGAATCAGAAAGACTGTCTTAGTCCATTTTGCTGTAAAGGAGTACCTGACACTAGGTAATCTATGTTTTTACTTTTATTTTTTTGAAACAAGGTCTCACTCTGTCGCCAAGGCTGGAGTGCAGGAGCTCTCTGCAGCCTTGACCTCCTGGGCTCAAGCAATCCTCCCACCTAAACCTCCCTAGTAGCTGGGACTACAGGCACACACACCAGCTAATGTTTGTATTTTTGTAGAGATGGAGTTTTTCCCTGTTGTTCAGCCTGGTCTCGAACTCCTGGGCTCAAGTGATCCACTTGCCTTGGTCTCCCAAAGTGCTGGGATTACAGGAACGAACCACTGTACCTAGCCGACTCTATGTTTTAAAAAGATTTGTTTAACGCAGAAAACCACAGTGAGATACTACAGAATATGACCATCCCCAAGACACATAATCATCAGATTCTCCAAGGTCTAAACGAAAAAAAAAAAAACGTTAACGGCAGTTAGAAAGAAGAGGCAGGGCAGCTACATAGGGAATCCCATCAGGTAACAGCAGACCTTTCAGCAGAAACCCTACAAACCAGAAAAGATTGGAGCCTATCTGCAGCACTCTTAAAAAAAAAAAAAAGAGAAAGAAATTTCAGGCAGGTCACAGTAGCTCACAGCTGCAATTCCAGCACTTTGGGAAGCTAAGACAGGTGGATAACCTCAGGTCAGGAGTTAGAGACCAGCCTGACCAACATGGTGACACCCCATCCCATCTCTACTAAAAATGCAAAAAACAGCCGGACGTGGTGCGGTGCACTGCAGTCCCAGCTACTTAGGAGGCTGAGACCAAAAAATCACTTGAACCCAGGAAGTAGAGGTTATAGTGATCCAAGATTGCACCACTGCACTCCAGCCTGGGTGACAAAGCAAGACTCTGT